CATCAGATGTTGTCCAAGATTAACCTTCAGGATTTAGCTCGCTCACACTGAGGACCTATCCACGTCATCATTTACCCAGAATGCTTTGTGTGTAAATAAAATGGCCCTGTCCGTGTACTTTTAGTTTAAAAATGATAAAAACTACAGTATTTTTACAGTCTTTATTTTACAGTTAAAAGAAATGTTTATCAAATAAAGTCTAATGTTACAACTAATCATGGATCCCTTTAAAAAGAGGAAGMTGGGGACAGGGCAACACCATATTCATTCTTTAAAACAGCTACGACTCCTTAAAAAGGTCTTTTAGTTTGCATTTAAAAACAGGAAGAGAAATGAATGAGTCAAGATGAAGTGTTTTTTCATAAAAGTTCCAATCATATGCAGCAGTGAAACCAAAAGATAAGCCAAACTTGGGTTTTAGAGATTTTCAGTTTATTAGGTTGGCAGGAACTGGTATTGTATCTTGGGGGCTGTTCTTGTTGTAAATGATTTAAATATGAAGGTGAAAGAAGTAGGGTTTTATGAATGAACAAGAGCCAGTAGGATATTACGACGAGACTGCAACCAGCGGTGAGTCTTATATGGAACATTAGTAACAAATCAAATGGCAGGATGATATTGAATTCAATTTTTGAAGACTTCCCTCGCAAACATGACGATTATGTCAACATGATCAAATAAAGGAAGAATACACATTTCAACAATGACCTTTTTGGCTGAGGCAATGATAAGTGTTTGATTTTTAAAAATGTAACTGTTGCTTTTAACAACAAATAATAATATTAATAAAGTTTTGCCTAGTAGAATTCCTGATACATGATTGATGGTAAATACCCACGCCTGATGGAGCATGAAGCATGGCTGGGCATGTTGCAGAGATGTTTGAAATAGTGCACATAACTCATTCAAAGAGCAGCTTAACGAAGCGGACCCCACTCCCCCCAGAGCACTAAATAAAGATAAACAAACACGTGTTGAATATGTAAACAAAGGAACAACATGTGGCTCACTGACTGCATGTTTTTCTAATCTTCAGTTTTTTTCTCCTGAGGGGCATTCATACTGCATCTGTCTCACACCTGGACCAAATCTGGACTTTCTGTTGCTCCTTTAATGACTTTTCTTTTTCTGATATTTGCTCCTGCATTAACTTATTATTATTATTATTATTATTATTATTATTATTATTATTATTATTATTATTATTATTATTATTATTATTATGGGTTTTAAAATGCTTAGTACAGATTTGCAGCAACACGATGCAGAGTTGCATCGGTTGTGAGAGTATACTACAGAGTGATCCATCACATCTAATCAGAGCACATTTTCAGAATCTTGACTTTTTAAGCTACATTTTGAGACTTCATCCTGATGTCATGGCTGTTCCAGAGATACGGCTTGATTTGTTTTCTCAAAGGCCCTATCGACAGACAACTCATGCCATCTTAGGTAAAGTTTAAAAACATCTACAGTATGTTGAAGATGGAATTTTGAAAAAAATCAACTGGAAGCCTCTTTTAGGCGTGTGCATGCTGTAATGCTAACAAACTGATAGAATATACAACTTTTATTAGTAATTTAAACAAAAAAACTAATTTCATAAGTTGGCATAAGTTGTCTAAAATGTTATATGGTGTGACAGGACCTTAATCAGGATAATTTGTTAATATTTGAAACTGATTATTAGTTTATTATAATCAGGATATTTTGATGTTTAAAGCAAAAACCTCAGTTTTGGGAATTTTGAGATTTGCCTGCTGGAAAGAAAGTTTTCCAGCATATAAGGAAAATCTAAAAATATATAGTACATTTTTTTCTCAACATCATGTTTTTGTAGCTACTGCTCAAAAGTGCTTTAAAATAATCTTTAAGATTGTCTTTGAGATAATTTTGCACACAATGTTGCACATTGCACATTGCACAAATGCAAATGTACACGCAAATGCACACACCTTACTACATATCCTTTATTTAAACCACCTCTACCTCAATATTGATCTGGATTCTACCTCATTCTATTTCTACTTTATTTTATTTCATTTAATTTTATTACTATATATTTCTTGTGGTTTGTTTTTATATACCTAAGACACTTTTACTTTGTTTAATTTTAGTATTTTGAACTCTACATTGCTTTATAGTTTGTCAAGCTGTTTATGTTGTGTGCTAATATGCATCGTCATTTCGTTCTACAGTGCATCCCTGACGTTATGTTGAATGACAATAAAAGAATCTGAATCTGAACATTAAAACCAATGCACTAGCTGCCTATTTTTCCACACACTTTGAGACTTAATCCTCAGTTTGATGTGATGGGTCACATATATCTGTGTTTTTATGCTTTTTTTATATAATATTTTAAGCTGGGCAGGCTGTTTTATTCAATATTCATTTTTCTTCAGACCATAGTTACTTTTATTTTATAATTATTTTGACATTCTTTCTCTGCTTCCTTGTGTGAGATTTTACAACTCCAAGGCCTTCATATCTACCATATCATATAAMCTACCAATCAAAGTCTTCCCGCTTGAAGACTGGACAACGTCCCGTGAAGGGAGATTAGTCTGTAACCCCTCATTAGGTAAACATTCTTCTTATCTTGGTTTCTTATCTCCAGCTGCCAAACCCAGTAAGTCTGAAAGAATGTTCTTTCTCTTCTGTGCGCCTTTATTCTGAACGTCTGTTCTCTGAAGCAGCTCTTCACCTGAACCGGGTCAAGTAGGTCTGTTCACACCTGCACATTATACTGTGTGTGTGTGTGTGTGTGTGTGTGTG